GATGATGATGATGCTGATGCTGATGCTGATGCTGATGCTGATGCTGATGCTGATGCTGATGCTGATGCTGATGAGGAGGAGGAGGAGGAGGAGGAGGCTTATTTTGATTATCTCTGAGTCGCCGAGGAGACGGTCAGCTTGGTGCGGCACTCAGAAGCACGCAGTATCTAGCAGCACGGGCGCCAAGCTTTGGTGAAACTCCTGCCCCCGTCACCTAACCCGTACCCATCATCCTCCTTCACGGCCAGTGCGGCGGCCCTGGAGCGGCGGCATGCAAATATAGAGCCTGGTGCTCGGGCACGGCTACTGCTAGCATCAACGGCTATTCTGCCTTGGAGGTGGAGGGAGGCGGGAGGGAGGGAGGACATGATAAGAGGGAGGAGGAACGGCTGGGACACAGACCACGTCTCCTGTGCGCAGCTTCTAGGGAATAGACCTGCGCACCACTGGCCCAGTGAGGGAAGAGGGGTAGTTATCTTCGCACCCACGCAAGGCACAACGCGATTATCTGCACGCCGGAACAAGGGCGAGGCGAAGCTAGGCCACGGCAAGATCAAGCTAGCCCCTACGGCGATACTCCGGGCTCACACTTACAGCACGAGCGGGGACACAGTGCAAGGCAGTGCCGAACAGAAAGTACAGCCACAGTGTATGAATGTCAACAGTCTGCTACAAACACCGCCCTCCTCTCCTCCGCCTCCTCCATGTCATAGGCCAGCAGCTGGGCCGCCAGCGGGCCGCACAGAGAGGCGACCACCGTGGCTGGGGCACACGGCCGCGCGGGAGGGGGAAGGGGGGAGGGAAGGAGGATAAATCTGCGAGGACGGGTAGGAAGGAGGGGGAAACATACTTGTGGTTACAATACCTGCATGCGTGACACCCTTTCCTAGAACATCCACGCACGATTGTACCAATACATTGCTGCAGATAGCCACTGATTCAAACCCTCCGCCAAGGGAGAGAGCTTCTGCCAGACGTCCGGCGCCACTCGCTCCACTCACGGGAGGACGCGATATTCTCGGCTAAAAATCATCTGCGTTATCTGGTCTGCGCGGGCGGGGTGGCGGCAGCGGGAGAGGCCCAGGCCGTACCCACCAACGTAAGTGTTGATCACACAACCAACTCACAGGCGGAAAATCCGGCTCACGGCATACTGTATACCTGGGAGTTGCCACGACTGGGATGCGCTGCGCTCGAGCCCATTTCCACTGCAAGCCTAGCTGGTGAAAAGGAGGTCTGCTGGAGGGCAGCGCGATTATTCGCACCGTGGTAGCCATACCCTGGGGCGCACGCTCAGAGCCTCGGGGGCTCGGGGGCTCGGCTTCAGCAGGAAGCGGATCGGGTCGTAGATCACGGAGTCGTGCACGAGCATCGGTGTCAACACCCTCCGGAGCGCTAGCTTGGGCGCAGGGACAATGAACATCACCAGGTGGTCCGCGATCCGCAGCCATGGCCTCGGCAGAGGCAGGTCCGGACGAGGCGGCCTCAGACGCCGCTGGCATTGGCGCCTCCAGGGACGTAGCACCAGCAGGCGACCTGTCGCCCGAGCGGCTGATAGCAGCACCTTCTCTGCGAGCCGCGGCATCGTCCGCGCCGCGCGGGTACGCGAAGTCCTCGGAGTCGACCGTGGAGCACGAGTCGCTCTCAGCGGACCCGACCGCCTCCTGCCACCCGTGGCTGTCAGGCCCGCTCTCGGCGGACTCGTCCGCGCCGTGGATTCGCTGAATGGGAGCCGCGGTCTCATCGAGCGTCTCCTCAGCTGCAGACTGGCTCTCCTCCACGTCCAAAGCAGCAGCAGTGCGCTTCGGAGCGGGCTGCACGCACCAGCATACGTCTCTGGATGGCGGCGGCGGCAGCACGCGGAGCGGCGGCAGCAAGCTCGAACTCGGCGAGGTAGGTGGAGGCGGTGCTGGCGACGGCCGTGGCCACCATACCGGCGCGGCGTAGGCCGCGGGCGGCAGCGCACTCGGCAGCTGGCACCAAGTGGCCATCTCCGCATCGGCGCCCGCCTCGGCCTTCCCGCTCTCAGGGACGAGCTGAACAGCGCGACAGGCAGGAGGCAACTCAGCACCCAGACAGTCGGCACGAACAGCTTCACCCAGATGACCGGCATGAACGGCTTCATCGCCTCCAGCCGTGCCCGGAAGATCGGCGCGACCAGCGCCATCAGCACGATCAGGACGAATAGCTGCATCAAGGCGATCGGCAGGAACTGCTCCATCACATTTATCTGCACGACCAGCGCCATCAGGGCGATCAGCACGAACATCCACCTCCAGACGATCGGCACGAACTGCGTCCCCGCCAACTGGGCCCTGCAGGTCGGCACGACTAGCGCCATCAGAGCGATCGGCACGAACAGCTGCATCCAGACGATCGGCATGAACAGCGTCATCTCCTCCAGCGTCACCCAGAAGATCAGCACGAACAACTCCGGACGAAGGTGTAGCCGGCGGCGATGGTACGCTTCTCTCTGCAATGTCGGAGGCGTGTGCGTCTGCGGAGGGCCCACTAGCACAAGCACTCGCGGCTGCGGAGCAGCATCACCAGCAAGCCCATCAGCACTTGCAAGACGTGTAGCACGATCATGAGGTACGCAAGGATGGACGGGTTGGGGAAGAACGCCTCGACGTGGCTGGCCACCGCAAGCGTACGCCAGCTCGGCCACATCGCCCATCCGGACACGGCGGCCGACTCGGGCCGCGTAGCCGAGCCTTCGCACGGCGGCGCGACGGGGCGGCCTCGGCAGGCAGCAGTCATGGCGCCCGCCGGAAGCATCTCGCGGCGCGCGGTCGCCCTCGGCACTTGGCCGGCCCCGGGCGGCGCGCATGGGCCCTCGCCCCCCCCCGTGGGAAATGTCTCCACCGTGGCCAGAGCCTTGAGCCAAAATGGCTACGGAGGGAGGGAGGGAGGGAGGGAGGCAAGGAGGAGGAGGAGGAGGAGGAAGAGGAGGAAGAGGAGCAGGAGGAGCAGGAGGAGCAGGAGGAGCAGGCAGGAGGAGCAGGAGGAGCAGGAGGAGGAGGAGGAGGAGGAGGAGGAGGAGGAGGAGCCGGGGGGGCGGGGCCCCTCGCGCGGGCACCCCCGCGGCTGAGAATTCATTCCTCTTCCAGAGTATGAGGCGGGGGTAACCCCCGTGCTCGAACCCCTCGCCAGGTTTCCCTCCCCCCCCCCCCCGCGGAAACAGGACCCCCAGGGTTCCTGGGCGCGCCCCAGAAGTTCTTTCTTTCCGGATGGGCCCCCATGTCCTGCGTTGGATCGGGGGCCCCCAAACGGTGCGGTGGCCACACCGTGCTGTGAGTCGGTGGGGATTCGGGGTCACCGCACGGTTTTGGGACTCGAGTCCTTCTCCGAGGGCGTCTCGGGCGACGGGGGCCTCCGGGGTCCCAAGACCGTGCGGTGACGGACCGTGCGGTGAGGTCTCTTGGGGTTCCGAGGTCACCGCACGGTCTGTCACCGCACCGTTTCGGGACTCCAAATTGGAGTCGCGGGGCTGATGGCGCGACGGGCGGAGCACCGCTCTGCTCCCGCCACGCGGCCCTCTACCACGGGCCGAGGCGGGCCCATGCCTGCGCCGAGGCGGGCTGCAACACCTTGGGCGTCGCAAGGCGCGAGGGCGTCCTCCTCTGCAGGGCCCACTTCGAGGCGGAGCAGCAGGAGAGGAGAGGGGCCCAGGCGCTGCAGGAGGCCCGCTGCGCAGCGCTCGCAGCAGCCATGGCCCGTCCCGGGCCCGCCGAGCGAGCCGCGGACGAGGCGACCCCGCCCCCCCGCCCCGAGCATGGCGAGGCCCGACCCCGCAGCCCCAGCGCATAGGCGGCACGGCGCGGGGACACCAAGGGCGTCGAGCGGCTCGCCCTCTCCGACCTCGTCGCGCGGCTCGACGGGGTCGAGGCTCCCCCCGCGGGCGTCATCCCGAGCACGCCCAGCGCCACACCGAGTGCCCGAGGGGAAGCCTCAGGGGCCGCGGGAGCTACCCTGAGGAGGGCGACGCGGGCGCCCAGGAGAGGACAGTGAAGTAATGAACTATGCCACCTCCAGCAATGCTCGCAAAGCACGTGGAGAGCTGCACGCTACTGTCAACCACCAGCCAGAGAAGAACAGTCTAAAACCCACCACGCGAAATGCACCGCCGAACAGCTGCACCAGAACCTCTTGAGGGCACACCAGGCCCGAGGGCGAGGGGAATATTTGCCAGCACGGCCCATCTCTCGAGCCCTAGATTAAAAAGATATTCGGGCCCCACCCCACCAGAAATCGACTGCACAATGACCAAACCAGTGGAAAGCGCCCAGGCCAACAACACAGCACAAAGCGCCTCGAAGACCGTAACGGACCCCATGCCCACAACGATCGCCAGCACGCCCAGCAGCCCATCCACCAAGAAGCTTTGCCTCGTGAACACGTGGAGACCACCGGGAGAGTGAGCTGCAGCAGCATGTACTCGAACAGAGGCGGACAAATTCAACCTGGCGTCGCCAGGAGCATCTGGACCTCAAGCGGCAGGGGGCGGCGCACCTCCCCACATTGAGCCTTGGGACGACGGCCGAGCGGCGCTGCAGGGGGAGGAGGAGGAGGGGGACCAGTGTGAACCCAAGAGGCATCAACGATGTCGGAGTATCCCCCCCTCCAAGCTCCCTGGCCCCCACAACGGTTCATCTTTCATTGAGGGAACTACCTTGTTGGAAGACAATTAACTGTTTGAAGACCCTGACGCATGCCAAAACATTGTTAGCGGGATTCCTACGCCACGGATCAACCTGACTGTTGTGTCTTGACGATTCTGAATCGCGCCAGAACGCCATTCCTGGGATTGGAACACCGCGAATCAACATAGTTCGTGCACCTTCATAAGCCTGAATCAGTCCAAAACACAGCTTTTGGCACGCTGACCATGGGAATCCGCGAAACGATTGCACATGTTTATACCGAATGCGCGCGGCGCTAAGGCGAGAACCACATGTTGAAAAGGAACCGCCATCAATCCGTGAAGCTCTTGCAAATGTTTGAGACGAGTGTGCGCGTTGCTAAGGCGAAAACCACATTTTGAAAAAGGAGCCGCCCTCAATCCGTGAAATTATTGCAAATTGTTAAATCGAATGTGCTCGGCGCCAAGGCGAGAGCCACAGTTTGAAAACCACTTGCCCTCAATCCGTGAAGCTCTTGCAAATGTTTTAAACGAACGTGCGCGTCGCTAAGGCGAAAACCACATTTTGAAAAAGGAGCCGCCCTCAATCCGTGAAATTATTGAAAATGTGTTGTATCGAATGTGCACGGCGCTAAAGCGAGAGCCACATTTTGAAAACCACTCGCCCTCAATCCGCGAAGCTCTTGCAAATGTTTTAACCGAGTGCGCGCGGCGTTAAGGCGAGAGCCACATGTTGAAACCGACCCGCCTTCCACCTGCGAAATTGTTGCCAACTTTTAAGTTTCAGGGTCATAGATGGTGAGGATGTCGCAGGCGAAACGCCCGACTCGCCCTAGAAACTGGCCTCGGGGTGCGACAGGGAGACGTCATGTATAAGGAGAAGGAATGGAGGAGGAGGAGGAGGAGGAGGAGGAGGAGGAGGAGTAGGAAAAGGAAAAGGAAAAGGTGTGGGTTGGCGGGCGTTTGCCTCCTCCGTCCCCCTTTCGGTGGACGTTCGACGGGGTGTGGCGGGGCGCGGCGAGGATCAGCATCCGTGGCACAAACGCAGCAGCAGGATGATGAGGATGATGATGATGAGGAGGAGGAGTATGACCACCACCTCCTCGCGTCGTGGGGGAAATCACGATGGCGCTTTTGTTGCCCATTTGCGGCCTGTGGGGGCCCTTGCCAGGCCCTCCGCGGCCGTGGTCTGCGGGAGTCAGGGTCGACATTTCTGGGGGTTCACGTTATTGTTTGTTTTTGGCCTCCGGCGACCCCATGCGCAGACCCCCCCACCCAACCCCACTAATTTTTCTGATTCCCCCCCCCCCCTCCGTGTCTGCCCGGTTCAGCAGCCGATTCCCCCTACGTCAGCCGTCTCACCCGGCCTGCTTCACCTGCACCTGGTCTGGTTTCACTTGGCTCGCCCCTTCCTCTGTCAGTCCAGTTTGTTTCACCTTCACTCGAATCTGGTTCACCCAATGCTTTTTCATGCGAGCAACTTTTAACAAAAACACATCGCCTTCCACATCACCGACCAGTGCATAATGTACGCCAGCTGTTGTGCGATTCCCAACCAACACTCAGGACACGCGTCTGGATACCTATTACAAGTGTTGCGTAAAGTACAATCACGCCGCGAATGTATTCATTATAGTATGATGGAGAAGGGGACCTTAATAATGACGGCGCCAACAGTCAGTTAAAGGCACTGTTCACCGAACTCCGTACCCGTGCTTCTGGACAACATGCCAACACAATTGAAGCCCGTAGCGGAGTACTTCGAGGAGTCATGTTTACCATGGAAGAAGACTCAAGAGGCGTGACAGGCCCCTGGCATTTAACAGACTACTGGCCTAAGCACTGTTCGCCTGCAATGCGTTTGCCTTCTACGATGGCCTCTCCCCCTACGATGCCTTCACTGGTAGGCAACCACCTATGCCACCTGACCCTGAGGGGCCAGACCTCGACGAACCCGAAACTACATGTCAAGGGCGTGGACGCCGTATTCGAGAGATTGCCTTGGAGGCCACTGCCCAAACCACTGCCGTGGCCAAAGCAAATGGGGCCCCGATGGCACGAACCGAAGCAGACGGTGGCAGAACCTTCCGTGTAGGTGACTTAGTTTACTGCCGCAGACCGTCAGCCACGAAAGACGACCACAGTGTTTGGAATGGTCTTTGTACGGTCACGGATATCAGCGAGGACAGAGGCCAGCTGATAGCCAAATCGGCGGTATTAAGCTTGTTCACCGAGGTGCTCATGGCCAAGGAACCCAGCATGGACAACATGGCCATGCGTATTATCATCATCAACATCATCATCATACATATACATATATATATATATATCAACCTTTCCTTGAGGGAAATATTCCATTGTTTGCGGCTAAGATTTACCGACTGCCCTTGGGAAGTAAATAAGTCAGAAAAGTACACATGGCATTACAATGCACTATTTGGATTCATTTCAAAATTGACAGCGTTATCGCTGTCAAGCTCGCCAAGGGTACCCAGTCCCTGTAGTCCTACCCGGGAGCTGATCGCAGCATTCCCATATACTGCGACAGCGACGTCCAGCCAGGCACTCATGTCTACGAGTCCGCCAACAGTCCGTTCAACATACCTGACCGTACGGGCAGTAATCATGCTCAGCGGATACAGTGCTGGATATCTACCAGCCCAGCCCATTCGTCCCATGAGGGCCGCTCACGATTCCTAGATGTGGCTGACGGACGTCAGGACGGTGACAACGGCGGAATCGAGACCCCCCCGAGAATCCGATGGAATCTGAGCGGTGAGACGGCTGGCTATATATTATCGACGAGGGTAGGGACGGACAAGACGAAAACACCGAGATCACGCGCGATTACGCTGCGCGATTGGTTTCAGGAACTATTGGACACCGTGTACCATTACAGTGAATCATGTACTTCCAATGAGCAGGTTTCGCACCTCGGTGCTCTCCCCGCCCCACTCATACCGATCAACGCAGCATTCGTGTCCTATGAGTATGAAAGGTATATGTTCGAACAGAACACCAATACCTGCGTGAAGGCCTGCTGCGTGGCGTTCTGTTTACCATCTCAAGGCCAGGCGACCCTATCCTGGCCATCGAAATATTCGCTGGCGAGGAGGTCGACGCCGACCCGCGCGGGAAGCATGAAGAAATATTTT